GGGGGGGGGGGGAGGGGAGGGGAGGGGAGGGGAGGGAGGGAGGGAGGGAGGGAGGGAGGGAGGGAGGGAGGGGCCGTGGGGACAGCGGCTTGAAGCCCCGAAACGAAGTGCCACACAAACTTTGTACGAGTACACGGGTGCGCAAACAGCCCAGCGAAAGAGACAGAGAGTGAGAGTGGGAGTGGGAGTGAGACGGCAAGAGCCATTGGCCTTCAGAAGATGACGAGCTTTCGGAGATGTCGTGAGCCGGAGAAGCTCCCATGTGCCGAAGTAGCCCAACCCACACCCAAAGACGCATGTCTCGCTGCTGCGAGGCTTCGAAGCGGGGTCCATTTGGAGTGCCTTGATCATTGCAGGCTGGCATCCCGGTCCCTCCCTGCCCTCGTCGCGATTCTGACAGGCGATGAGTCCCACACGAGCGTGTCCTTGCAGAATCTGGAGACGAGGAAGCACCGGAGTAGAGCAGCGTCCTGCACCTCTCCGTCAAACAAAGAAACCGGAAACGAAGATTCAGATTTCCCAGAACTCCACCACCGAGAGGAGCCTTTCCAGCACCACGCTTCTTGAAAGCCACAAGCGCCGGCACCGACGACTCCTGTCAGAGGCAATTTTTTCTCCGCAGAAAAGCCGCTTCCCTCTCTTTCTCCTCTTCATCCTCGTCCTCATCCGCGTCCTCTTCGAGGAGTGGCTGGAGAGCACCCTGCGGCCCAGGGCCAGAGCTGCCGATTCAAATTGCCAGAAACAGCGGCGGCCCAAGCACTACAGTAGCGCTGCCTGAACGTTTCTGTCAATGAAAGAGTCGTAGTTGTCGGGCTCCAGCGTAAACGCCATGACACCTGCAGAACTGACACTGCTAAGTCTCAATTCACAAGTTTTCAGCCAAAACTGAGTCACCGGCGATTACCCCGTCGCTGCAGCCCCTTCAGCAAAGCGACATGGACTTTGTAGGACAGGCACCTGCAAACAGGCGCGGCCATGACTCAGAGTGGCACAGAGTGCTGCCGCAGCTTTCGGCGGCCCGTTCCGCGGCGAGCTATCGGCTCTTCCGCCCGTGAGCCGCCCGCGCCTGAGCATGAGAGCCTGAAAGGAGCCTCTCAGCTTCGCATTCTGCTCCGCTTCCTCCTCGTCCTCCTGAAGTGCGCCCAACCAAATCTCCGAAACAAAGAAGCTTTCAGCGTACAAAGCTTGCGTGCTGCGGTCTTTTGCCTCCTCGTCCTCCTCGACTGCGAGGCCATCGTCTGCTAGAAGGAAAAGGGACGGCCTTGCAAGTTCTCACGTCTTCTTGTCTTATGTGCAGGCACACAGGATTGCAGGTTGATGGAGGTGGACATGTGCTACCGCGTCACCTCCATGTGGACACGTGCTCCTTCCATTCTGGTGAATACCTTATACCAGCTCACAGCATAAGCATCGAAGAGCTTTTTGAGGCGGAATCTGGGTTGAAGAAAGACTTACCGCGATGCTGGCCACGCCACCAGTGTGAGAATACTTCGTGGTCAATACCGTGACTCCGACAGTGGCTCAAGAAAGCCTCACAAGGCTGCGTCAACCTCTTGCCGATGAACAGCAAAGAACTCAAGATGAAGCAGTAAAATGCAACGAAAAGGATGCAAGAGTGCCGCCGCCTCCCTGAATGCCCACAGCGAGTCTTCGAACTGCATGCTGAAGACGTGCTTGAAAGCATCAAAGAAGATGATCCTGACAAAGCTTCAAAGACAATCCAAGCAGCCCTTTTGCACAGGACCACTCGAGCAAGGCGGGCCTGTAAACACCGCCGCAGGATTTTATACTGGATAACAACTGCTCGACCATGAAGGTCATCCGCAGGAACTGGCCATCCTCATTGACCTCGTCTAAGAGCATCCTATTCTCTGCAAGCATCTGTGGACGAAGGCCGGGAGCTCTCACTCGGCAAACAAGAGTCCAAGCCTCTGCGGAAAGGCGCATGTCACAGATGATGGACTCTGCGCTGATGAAAAAGATGCTGGAAGCCTTGGCCAAGTGTGCTCATCCTGGTCTTCTAACTTAGGTTAGGTTAATGGATGCCATGCAAAACACGGAATGTGAGCACATCTAGGCTCCAGATCTATCCACGACCGAACTTTCGATATGGCTGATTCAAAACTGAACTGCAGTCCGTTCAAAAGAAAACAAACACTGGCCTCCGGTGTTGTGCGCCAGCAACCCGTGCCCATGTGCTCTCTGACGTTGAAGATTTGAAAAGACTCGAGCTATTCTCTCGTCTGCCCTGCGGTCAGGGTTCGTCCTTACGAACCGATTTGCAATTCTGCGTGAACCTGCATCTGTCGCAGTCACCACCAACCCTTGCGATTGTACACTTGCATAGCACGAAATATCTACAGCCGAGGCTTATGTCTTTGTGCGCTCGATTCTTTTCCTGGTAAGATGAGCCTGGCCGCCAAAAAACGGATTTCGAGTGATACACACAAACACAAGTTTCTTCATGACTCGTCGTTCCTCTCTTTCTCCTGGAACTTGATGGCGTGGGGATCTGCATAATTCACCCCTGACGCCATTCCGCAAAGGCCCGAACTCCCCTCCGTCAAAGTGCCCAGCCGCTTTGCTGCAGCTGCTGATGGTGCTACATGTGGAAGGAGGCAACTTCTCTAACTCGTCTGACAATGGCGAGCTACACTCCATTTAACGAAACTGCGACATGCGAAAACGAACGGTCATGTCGGAGCATCCGGTCAGAGAAAAACGTGAAACCACAAATTCTAAAAGTTTCCGGCACTCGCAGTTCGCATGTCTTGAGGCCGAGAGTACCCGAGACTGCTACAAGTAACCTGTGGAGTTTCTGGCATCGCAGATTTGAGCTCTGATCCATGCCAGGCCCCACAGCAAAATTGGAAGCCGCGTGCGCAAGAGCGACACACCGTGAGTCTAAGCCGCACCTCGCAGTGAGAAGGTATTTGGCTCCTCACTCGTTGGCAATTCTTTCGCGAAGCCACTTACTTGCAGAATTTGAGGAATCATTCGCGACAACAGCGCCGATTCTGGCATGACGTTTTCGGGGCTAGTTGCACTGGCAAACCCGACATTCTTACACGGCAGATACAGGGCAATGAAGACGGACGCACCGCTCTGTGCAAGCCGCATCAGTCACAGAACTACGAGGCAAGGGCTTGACCTCATCGATCTTCCAAAGGCCGCGATGCCAAGCGCTGTTGCCAGTTGCGGGCAGACAAAAGTTGATGACAAAAGGACGGGCCCTGCTGCAGGGAACTCAGCCTAGGCTCCTAGGCTCCACTCCTCTGCAGGAGTGGTCGACCGTTTGATTCATTGTGTTGTTGGCATGACTTTGACAGCAGGCCCTCTCGGACAGGCCGTAGCCCCTGGATTGTATTCCGTCAAAACGAGCCGCAACATTCAGCAGCAGGCTCTGGGCAAGTCTTCGCACCCAAACCCAAGACCAAGGAGGCACACCGTCGACGCTGCTGAAGCGAGCTCCCCAACCAAGGCCGTCGCATCGAGTTCAGAGATCAAATCGACCTTTCAGCTGCAGCTACATGCGCGCATGAAGGCTCGAAAGTGTCTGGCCTCGGCAGAGAGGAGCATCTCATGCCATTTCTGCAGCTGTTCCTGCAATCGCTGGATAAGACTCCGTCCTACCGTCAGAGCCGCCCAGCACCTGCGGAGAGAGGTCTGCGATGTCGGCGCGCGACAAGTGGCCTACCTGGAGCCCCAAGCGTGGCTTCGCCTCCTTCCGGCCCTCGCTCTTTCGTTGCTTCTGCACAGGTGTTTTGCTTGCTTGCTCTCGCTATCTCTTTCACGCCTTGAGGAGACGACCCTCCCGCAAGAAACCAAGGCCCTCTGCTGTTCACCTTCTCTCTCTTTCTCTTGCTTGCTGCGAAGAAAACGCATGTCTCCTCGTGTCTCTGCTTTCTCGTTCCTCCACTGGGCATGAGGAATGAGGACTCGATTGACAACGTGATTAAGCCAAAACTCTTGCTGCTTGGTGCGCGAGACAAATGGCACTGCCAGGGCCAGGACCAAATTGTCCTCCGCCTCTCTCCATCTCCCTTTCCCTCTTCCCGCCCTCTGTTGAATCGCACACGTGAATTCCCGAGAATCACAGACCATGTCGACCGGAGTGCGCGAGCATCCATGTCGAAGTCATCCGCCGCATCCTCATCGCCTCCATCAGCTGCAGACGAACATCACAGCATCCAAACGCTCCGTTGCCGAAAGCCTTCGTCAACGTCTTGAAAATCTCCGTCGCCATCCCCGAGATCAGACGCCTGTCTTTCTGTGATGTAGTGGTAGCAACTACTGAGCACATCACTGCAAGGTTGTCCTGATCTTCGTCGAAGTCATCATCGAAACCGCCAGCATCGTCGTCCATCTGCATGTGTGCAGCAACCGCAACAGCAAGAAACAGCAACAACAACTACAACTACAACTACTACTACCACTACCACTACTACTACTACTACTACTACTACTACTACTACTACTACCACAATGCAACTGCAACTGCAGCCCCGCAATAACACTTGCTCCGTTAAAGAGCCTGGCCTTGCTTGCCGGCGATATTGCAGTGCCCCTGGCTGACAAGTTCGCTGCACTGCGACAGAGACCCGACAGTTTGCAGGCCTTGTCCTCAACGGCTCTCAATGACGAACGTCTGCGCCTGGTTATACGTGACATGTCCAACAGCTTCCGGCACCATTGAGTGTGCCCGGGCTCATGGCGATCGCTTCACGCTTGACGCACTGCCGTCTCTAAGTCTACATGCAACGCTGCGGTCCGATTGCACCCGTCCGTGTCAAGTGTTAGGCAACCATGTAAGTGACAACACCAGCACTCCAAAGGCAGGCAGGTGCAAGAGACGTGAAGGAAGCACTCTATTTTGCGAACAGGTGCTAGAGCTTCACGTCCTCGGTCAATACATGCCGTGTGGGGGCTGCGGTCAAAGGCAAACTCAGCACAAGGCCACGGCTGCACTAAATCCGGTAAAGGCTCGATAAACATCGCCTTCGATGACCGAGGATGGACTATAGTTCTGCCCGGGTCCTGACAAAAGCAGATGCCAGCAGCACCAGACAGGCACCGCATCAAACAACGAGCTCGAATCAGGTTGGCATCCTCGCCAAGATCCAGCTGCCTCCTCAGAGGCCTCCAAACAAAAAGAATGCGCAGAGCAACCCCTGGCAAGGATGCCCCGTAGGGCCCCCAAGGCCCGCAGGGCCTCGCAGCATCGTGGCTGAGGAGCTGCGCGTACTCCAAGGCCGGGCCTTGGAAAAAACGAGCGGCCAAGGCGCTCTTCGCGTGTCGCTGTGAGGGGCGGGCCCAGGAGCAGGCCGGCGGCCGCCGCGCAGACGAGCCGCGGGGAGCCACCTGCCCAGAGGCCTCGCCAGCCTCGCACGTTGCTTGGGGCCCATCTCGCCTCAAATCCGCAATCTTTCTGCGGCCTGTCGCCTGATACGTCTCTCGGAGAGTTGCAAAGAAACGAGCAACCTGCACAGGTGCACTTTGACACAAATCACCGCATGTGCATCCTTGGCCTTAACCCTCCTGAAGCCATCATCCCGAGAGGTCATCATCCGGTGGATCTTCGAGGAGGGGGACTTCCGCAGGCAAGACAACGCAACAAAGCTGGCACAAGTCCTGCATCTTCGTCTTCACCACGTCCATAGGCTGCGTGACAATGGCAGCGCCCATCGCGCAAACCTGACCCATTCGACAGCTCAACTTCCGCACGCCCAAGTATGCGTTCTCATGCCCAATGATGCACCGGCTGCATTGTGAGTCTATGGAGATGTTCTGCCCATCCACCGGAGGGGTGCTGTGTACCATCCTTGGAACCCCACAGAGCTGACGAAGGCAGACTGCACGGCTCGCTGCCGCATGGCTGCTGCATCAAACTCCTGCAGTCTCGCACTTGCCAGGCATTTCCGCATTGTGGTCTTTTTGTCTCGGAGACCGCGGCTCCCAGACGTGTACTGCTGATTCTGCATGTGAAACGGACATCGAAACGCCGCTACCACAACACAGAACCTGAAAAGCGATCAAAAGCCATCAGCGCCCCTCTCGTAGCCCGCAGTTGCGAGTGCAGCTTCGCAGGATGACAAGAGTGCTTGAGAGAGGCCTTGCCGAAGATCTTTCAAGCGCGGAGCCTTCGAAGTCCTTCTTGCCGCTTGGCCGCAGAGGCGCTGTACGGAGTGGCAGAGCTTCAACTTCAGTTGATCGCCTTGATCGCCGTCGGAACCAGATTCACAGCCTATGTGCAGTTTGCATTCACGTGCTGTCAACCTAGTGACCTAGTGATTGGAATCCCTCAACACCAGGCAGAAAATCAGTGTTTGGTGAAGTCGAAAATCCCGCCAGCCTCCGAGCGGCCGTCCAGTCTTCCGTCGAACATAACCGTGAGGCGCGTGTCGCTATACTGGGACAGTACGGTCCCGACAGCGCCCGGTGGAACCAAGACGACACCCTGGCGCAGTTTTGAAATCCCACGAACAAGCTTGTGCTGAGCTGTTCGGCACCACAAGAAATTAGAAATCAAAGCTGAGTCAAATTCAATGAATGCGGCAGTCCTCCAACAAGATGTTTTCCACAGCTGTCACACGCTGGGCCACTCTGAATCCACCTCTGGCAGGGCAGGTCCGAAATTGTTCTCGGTTTTTGTTCATGTGCAACAGAGCGGCCTATCAGCTCCATGTTTGGTAGAATCTCGAAGGCTTGCACGTCCAGTCTGTTCTGCCCTTCGGTAACCGTGTCGAAACATACTGTGATCCTGTCTGGCGAGCTGGATGGACCCACGACGGTACCCAACGTTGCAAAGGGAACCCTCACGGCAGAGTCAACAATCAGATCTTGGGAGGCAAGAACGCGTTGCCCGATACTCACACCGAACGTGCTAGGCAGTTGCGGCAAAATCTCGTCCGGACTTACGTTGAAGACACCGCTAATGCCCCACAGAAAGAGGTCGAACTTCACCTTGACCCGGCGCTCCTCGTGGCTCCCGAGAACAACACCGCTTGTTCCAAAGGCCACAGCGAGGTTCTCTCCAACGAAAAGGTCTCGGGATGCTGCCACTTCTTGCCAAAGACCAAAGCCGCCCGCAATGCTTTCTTCAAGCTCTTGGCCCCTGATATCCCTGCGGCGTTCAGCTAGTTCGCTGGCATGTTCAGCCTCCAGCCAGCTACAAAGGAGCTTAGACACACTTGGAAGTCTGTAGTCGATTTGCTTTCCACAGCCACTTGGACATCTGGCACGAGGGGCTCCATCATCCAGCTTAACAACCGTCCATTGCTGCAGGCACGTCTTGCAGAAGGACTCTCCGCAGCAGGGGAGCGTCACTGGATCCAACAGAACCTCCTGGCACAGCTCGCAGATCTCCGCGAGAGGGGCCATGGAGGCAGATGCCAAGCCGGGCCTACACCCAAGCGCGGGGCTCGGGCCCTTTGGCTTAGAGAAAAAATTGCACTCAGGTCCTACTCGGATTCGACCGCCGGAATAGGAGCTATAGGACCCTTCGATCCTCCAGGGAGCTTTCGTTCAGCACTACCTGGTTGAGGTACATGTAGCTGGACCTTTCTCGAGTCCATAGCAACGACAGCCGCAAGAAATGATCTGAGCACATCACCAGAAGGTTCCCGCAGCAAGGACGTCTCGCAAGAGTGTTGGAATGAGGCCTACGAGTACCGGCAAAGCAGCAGCATCACGTGCTCAACTTGAAAGAACCTCTAGACTGCGGAAGATGAACTACAGTAGTGTTTGAGGCACGATGCACCTCGCCAGAGTGACCTAGGGCCGTCCGTGGTGATCACCTCATGCCAGGGCTGTGCTGAGCTGAACAAATTCAGCATCTGTAACTTGTACTGCCTATACAAACAACGCCTTCTGCGGGCCTCCCATGGGCCGCGTAACAAATGCGAAGACCTCGTCTCTGGCAGCAACAATGCCGCCTGCATCGAACTTGAAGGGCACTGCCACACTGCTCGTGTCAGTTCAGAATGCCTGCCAAGACGTTCGGAAAAAGTCGAATGGCTGAACGACTGCGACTTGGACCTTAGACAGAGACGAACTTCGCATGGCAAGAACGCGCTTCTGATCAGTCTTAACTTCCTCTTCTCCCTGTCCGAATGCAGCCCATGTTGTGCTCCAGAAAGCTAGGATATCGAAAGGCTCATGAGATGGCAGTGCCATCAGGCCACCACACCTGTGAAAAATGGCTTGACTTCCGTGGCCTGCATGCCGAAATGCGTTTGCACGCGGCACCCTTCCATCGTTCATCCTTGCAGCCTGACACCCGTAGGCGGCTCGTCTGTCAGTCTGGAGGACGACTGCCATGAGCGAAAAGGGAAAGAAAACGAGTCGTGTCCAAGAAGATGGACTTGCATGTGCAAGGTTGGGATTGGCCTTTTGACTCCTTCAGAGAGCGGTACGAAAGCTGCTTTCCAGCAGCTCACTTACGCATCTGGGAGCCCGACAGCCTTGGCCACTAGTCCCGCTTCCAGGACCTGTCCAAACTGCAAACTTGTCGCATGCCGAGCAGAAGCCTGAATACACCATGCAACATTTCCACTGGGCCTCCTTTGAACCTCGCTGCACCTGCCAAGCCCAAAGCTGCACAAAGCTTTCCAAGAGCTGAAGTCACTTACTTGTAGAAGCACCCCATGGAGAAAGCCAAAACATTGCCTAACATGTCGCCTGCAGTGCTGCTTTTTGCTGTGGAAGTGAGAATATAAAAGCCTGCATTAAAGCAACTTAGCAGACCTCCCCTTGACACGTTCGTCGCCGTGTGGTTGCAGCAAGACGCAACTGGCCCTCAAGTGTTGCTGCCCAGAGTGCGATTGCTCGCCTCGTAACCCAACAGAAACGCTGCAGGTCCCGCTGCAGAGCAGAAGAGCGCCTAGGCACATCACCACGAAATGCCTCCCGGCTGATGCTCAGCAAACACTCGGCTTTGCGCCGGAACAAGTCCGCGGAAAAAGCCGCCTCCACGCATTTCAAGACAGAGTGGGAAGCGGTCTCCAAGAGCTCAGAGCTTTCGCCAAGCGACTCGGAGGTGATGCAGCTGCACGGAAAGCCTGCACCGGACAGCCAGACACGAGGGCCGAGGGCCTTTCAAGCTCGCCTCTGCAAGTCCAGGATGCGGACGTTTGCTGGAAATCGCTGCCTTGAGAAGCGAGTGCAAAGCGAGTGCAAAGCGAGTGCAGAGCGCTTCAGGGCTGGGCCTGCACGGCATGTCTAACCACATCCAAGGGCATCGTCGCGACCTGGCATAGAGCACGAAGACGCACGGAGAAAGAGCCCTGAGGAGTTCAAATCATGCCTCAGTCCAGATTGACCTGTCAGTACTGTCTCCTTCGTTTTTGAGCTCAGGTTGATGGCGGTTCGGGCAATTCCAAACATAAGTGCACACGACAGACCATGCCATGCCTACCGAAGTGGTGGGTCAACGCTCAAAGTGCCTGATCTCTTGTCGACTAGTAGAACTACAAATATGGTTCGTTTTCCTCCTTTACATGTTCTAGATGCTTCTGAGCCTTTCCGAACCTTCCTGCCGACACTTCGGTGAAATCTTTGGTCCTCGAAACGGGGAAGATGTTGTGGGCTTGAGCACCGGAATTCGACGCGAATGCCGCCTTTGGACCCTGTCCAGTCAGTGCTCGAGACTGCGTCCTGCATCGCCTGTCAGCCAATGGCACCTGCCTTTTGTAACATGATTTTTGTTCGCCTCATGCCACTGATTGTGTGGAGGTGTAGGGGTGGACCGGAGCGTGACGCGCAATCCATCCTTGTCAACCTTTGGTTGTCGCTGCAACTAGGAAATCAACCTGGCGGCTTTCGCTTTTGAAGCGGCCTCAGCCTCAGCTCTCGAGACCAGATGATCTGTCGGCTTCAAGCTTTGCAGCCTCCCGCCAAGCCCGGAAAGAGATTCGACAACACAGCGGCGCAGACCTTCACATTGTCCTGTCGACATTGAGTCTCCGCGAAGAAACCGCTTACAACACTGCAATACGGAAGCATAACATAGTTTGACCTCCACCACATGTCGGATAAACCGAATCCTTGGAGTTGGAAGGAAACCCGCACGGAGTTTCGAACGACGTGCATGGGACGACCGATGAAGCAACAGCAACTCCCGCAGACAAGCTCAAAAACGGCGACGTTGTTTTGTTGGCCCTTTGTAGCCAGTCCTAGTCTTGCCCGCTTCATCTAATCCATTGGACACCTGGTCGAATTAAGCTCTTGATGTCAACTTGTTGATAGAAGGGCACTGCTAGCATTCGGCATTTCTGCCCATCCCGTGCTGGGCGGCCGTCCAGCACTGAGAAAACGTGCATAAACCTATATCATGTCAACTGCTCTGCCTGCTCGGCGAGCTGGTGCGACAGCTGTGAAATAGTTGAATTTATATGGGACTGATAGATCAATGGTAGAACAGCTGCAGTCTCCACGAGTGCCGATCGCGAGTGCACCTAGGCGTAAGGCTGGAGCGGCGCCGGAAGACAACCGCTTGCAAGACCGCAACTTCACTGCAACACGTCTCACAGCCTAAGGCGCGAGGTCGGTCATGTGACCCATATCAATTGCTGCCGCCGCCGGCAAAGAAAATGCCAGGATGGTACCAATTACCTGACTGTTACATGGTCCTGCTACGCCTCGACGATCTCTCGACTTCTGGGAGAAGGGCCTCACCGTAGTAGGATGTCAGCGCCACCCAGTATCGCCGGTTCTTCCCTTGCACTTGCTGCATGCATGTTGCAGGCTCTACGGTCAACCAAGGCAGCAAAGTCACGTAAGCCGAGATAGGCTTGCACCTCAATTCGGAGGTGGTTTTGCAATGGACTGAATGGTCAAAAGCACGCCACACAAAACACATCAATGAAATGTTGGCAAGAGACTCCGATAAAGATCAAGCCCGCAATCCAGGCTTCAATGAGCAAGCACACGCGCATCCGCTGATACTTTGTTAGCGGGCCATATACTGGAGCGGCCTCGTCGGTGAAGAAATACTGGAAGGCATTCTCTCCAAAGCCGAGTTGGATGGTCTCCATGATCATCAAGAACAGCATGGCAAAAGGAGCAGAGACATTGTGCACTGCGGTTAGAACTACTTCGTAGCCGGCCACGTCTGAAAGGCTGGGCACCATTGCAGCAAGAACAAATCCAACTTGGGGCACCAGAGCCCAGGCAATGCGTAAGCGACGTTCGAGCGCGCGCTCCAGAACGATCGAGTGGATGGGGTTGTTGCTGTCGACGTAGGGAGCCCAACTACGATAGAGCCAGAAGGTGTACATCGATATCACACTTAAGACCGAGGCGAGCCCTAAAGCTGTGCTCCACAAGCGACCTTGCGGCTGCGTCATGTCTTGCGTCATGTTGGACAACGTTGCTTTCTGTAGAAAGTCTCTTGGGACACTCTGCGCATCCGGCTCCAGTGTCGCAATCACCGTAGCAGTAAGGGTGCCGGACAAGACCAAACCAAAAGCAATGTCAACGAGAACCGAGGACTGCACCACCTGCTGCTTCGAGAAGCCGATGAGCAATGCCAGAGACGTGTCTGCCACAGGGTCTGTTGGCTTCCCCAAGGGCTTGGATAGTCTGTCTGATATCCAGTTGGCTGTTCCCTGAGGCATACTGCTGTCCCGGAAAGCGACGACCAAAGGGCCCAGGATCACTGCAAGCGCAATGACGAAAAGCCAGCAGACTGGATGTTTGCGACATCTCCTGCAGTTTCGAAGGACAGCCACTCTGATCCGCATTATCCTGACCCCAGCCACAATACCCATCTACCCTACTCCCCAAACCTGCCATCTCAATTCCCAACCCACAAAGTATTGCCCGAGCTGTGTGGCAAGGTGCTTGTCTGTATCGGACCAATAGAAAACTTCATCATCGCTGTCCGACTCCTGCCAGAAGGAAAGTCCTCCCCTCGGCACTTTTGCTTGAAAACATGCTTCTTGAAGCCATTTCGAGCCTCTTCCCCATCTTCAACCAATTTATCCTCACTTCTTGCTGGAGCAAGGTACAAGCTTCCACTCATCTGGCCTGAGAGCAGCGGCTTAGAGCAATGACAGGCAAACAAGCGAGCAGCCCTTGACAGCACAGCCACGGCTGCTGTGTTCAGAGGCCCTGGCGGGGTCAACTTCTCCGCGCTGGGGAATGTGCAACAGATCTGCTAGCAACCGTTGCTCGCAGAACTGCTGCTGCTTGAGCACGCGACGGAAACATGTGAAGCAGCAAAAGACGTGAAACTCTCCAGGCATGAAACAGCAGTGCAAACAGACCGGTGGAACACAGAGAGACGCGGCACCAAGAGTTCCAGCCCGCAAAAGGGCCTGCACGAAGAAACGCTCATGACTCAGCATTAGATCTTAGCGACTCCTCAGTCTCGGACCGTAAACTCAGGTTGCTCCATGAGAGAATGGGAACAGGGTCGGCTCAGATTTAGAGCCAAAACAAATCCTGCAGGGCACGAGATCACGAGATGGCTCGATGGCTGGCACGCGTGGCTCTCTGCGAGGGCCCGGGTTCTGGCCCGAGTAACAACCACGACACATGGTTTTTATACCTTTGCGCAGCTGGGTGCGAAGTCACTCGCTTCTTACTGCTGCCGCTTCTTTCTCAGCCTCCCAACGCTTCGCTTACATATGCACATCGATATGACGAACAGTTTCCAGGCAGCAACTTGCAGCGGACCCCTCGCTTTTGCATGGCTTCCGAACGAAACAGGCTCCCTGCTTGCGGAGACTCCTAGAAACTTCAGGCCAGTGTCTTGGATCACGCGGTCCAACCTGCAGCTGCATTTCGAAAGCAGGGCAGTAAAAAGCATCCTATGCAAACGAAGTGCCATAAGAGACGCCAACACCCTCATTGCAGGATTCTCGGCCTGAGCCGGGACTAGATGACTGGCCATGTCTCTACAAAGCATCATGCTTTGCTAGTTGCTTCTTCCGGCTCCTCTTTGCAGATCAAGTCCGTCAGGCTCAGCAGGCGAGTTACAGCAGCAGCAGGAGAAGGAGCAGGACAGCAGGAGAGCAAGAGCAGCAGCAGCAGCAGCAGCAGGAGCAGCAGCAGGAGCCGCAGTAGTAGTCGCCGTCGTCGTCGTAGTCGTACATGCAGTCGTAGTCGTAGTCGTAGTAGTGGCAGCAGCAGGAGGAGCGGTAGTAGCGTTGTGGGAAGTGATAGTCATGGCAAAACATCAAAGGAACAGGCTGTTTTGTTTTCTGTCAGCAGCTCTGCAAGTCTTCATTCCCTGGCTAAACGGACGGCAAGGCACGTATGTACGAAATTCGAGGCTCCTGTGCCTCCATCTGCCGGACTGGCTTGTTCTGGGGCAAGTTAGCGCAACTTATTCGCCGATGCATCACATGCACATGTTCGGAAGCTCGCTCTGCAAACAGGGCATCGATGATGCTGGCAAAGGCCGGAGCCTGATATGGACCCGTGCGATGCAGCACGTGACCTTCGAACAAGAGGCATTCGCCGCGGTGGTAACCTGAGCACATGAAAACACCGTGCCCGATGATAAAGGACTCTAACTTCATCATAAGTGCATCCAACCAAGTGACTGTGCTCAACCACAGAGAAATCCGCGGAGGCCCAGTGTTCAGGGCATTCGTTGGGATTTTGTTCGGCTGCCTCTCATCGTGGGTGAGGCATCAAACAAAAATAGATAGGCATCAACGAAAAACTAGGCAGGAGCATGAAAAAAACCTAAAATAAGCATCAAAATAAACGTAATAAGTTCCATGAACATCAAAATAACTTAAGCACTTCAAAACGAAACTTAATCATAGGATATGCGACAATTTCAGGGAGAATTTGCCTCGGGCCATTCCAGGGTCTAGGGCCTCGGGTGTTCTAGCCCCCGCGTTTGACGATTCCGGTTCACCATATATCTTAGACACGCCCCCCACATTTGGCGATTCCTGCCATATACTTTGAAGCAAGCTTGCACGGCTTAAAATCTCGCGGGGGTTGGGGGGGCTGCGCCCCTCCCATTTGCAAACACAATGCTCGCATGATGGGTTTCGAAGAGACTGCTTTGAAGCAAGCTTGTTCGGCTTAAAAAAGGCGGGGGTTGGAGGGCAGCTGCCCCCCATTTGCAAACTGTTCTACCTTCGTTCTGCTTTATTCCTCGCTTGCTTCCTTGTTCCTTCTGCTCTCTTGTGCTTCCTTCCTTCCTTCCTTCCTTCCTTCCTGCCTTCCTTCCTTCCTGCCTTCCTTCCTTCCTTCTTTTCTTCGTCTCCTTCCTTCCTTCCTTAAACCCCAGTTTGAGTTCATATAGTTTGGGCTCCGGATCATCACAGCATCAGCATCACGGCAGCAATAGCTCCAACAGCCAAGATAGCAAAATGGAGAACATTGCGAAATCCTGTGACAGCAAACGGACGAATATCGTGGCGGCCATTGGGGCAGCTTTGCATCAAGCTTCCCAGCAAAAAAGCTATAGGCCCTAAAGTCTATGGAGTTTAGGCCTTTGAATTTCCGGGCGCACGGGTTCGGGCTTGGGAGCCAATGAAACAAAACCGCCCCAAACGAATTGAGCGTCGCACCCCCACACAAGAGTGTCAAAAAACTCACCAATGAACCAAGAATCCTAACATCAACACGATGACTCACAGTGCTGGTTATATTTGTTTGTCTTGTTGTTGTCGTTGTTGCTTTCTTGCTTTCATTGCCTTCGTTGTTGATCTCGTATGCTCTATTGTTTATGTTTGTTCTTTCTTGGTTTTGTGCGTTTAGCATTATGTTTGGTGTTGTTGTTATGATTTCCCCCTCGCACTGTGTGGTCTTCTTTCTTGCGATTCCTTTGGTTGTTTCTTCTTATCTTGTTGTTTACTTGCACTTGTTTGTATTATTATTTTGTTGTTTGGTGGCATTTGCTTTTTATTCCTTCCGTTCATTACTATGTTTCTGGTTCTTACTATTTAGTCTATTTCGTTTTTGTTCCTTACTTCCTTCCTGTACGTCTGTCTTTATTTATGTATGTATCTCTTTATTTCTTTCTGTCGTTCTTTATTTATTTCTTTCTTTCCTTATTTATTTCTTTCTTTCGTTAGTTATTGCTTTCTTTCTTCCGTTATTTATTGCTTTCTTTCGTTACGTATTTACTTCTTTATTTCGTTCGTTCTTTTTGTTTGTTTATTTCTTTCGTTATTTCTTTGTTTATTTCGTTCTTTCGTTCCTTTTTTATTTCGTCATTTCTTTAGTTCGTTCTTTTTTTCGTTCTTTCTTTCTGTCTGTCCGTCTTGCTTTCTTTCTTTCTTGATCTATTTCTGTCTTTCTTTCTGTCTTTCTTTCTTTATTTTGTTATTTCTTTCTTTCGTTATTTCTTTCTTTCTGTCTTCTTTTCTTTCTTTCGTTCTTTCTTTCCCCTCTCACCACAGCAGCTTCCAAGCTTGATGTGACGACAGGTGCCCTCGTTTTGTTCAGTGACAACGCCTCTTTGGCAACCAGCGCTGCCACTGCAGCTATGGAGGGTGCCACCGAGTCGGCCCGCGGTAGCGCGTGCTCCTTTAGGCACAGCTGCGTCCCACCCAACACTCGCCAATCTTCGTCATCCTTGGTACAGCATGACATCGCACGGACAGAACTTTCAGAGCCATGAATCCAGAATCCTTCATGTTTCGAACGTGTTGTACCATCTGCATCTAGCCGCCCGAGGCCATAAAGGAACCAACATTGTCCAGGACAAAGCATCTGGAATGCCGTACCAGTCCACGTGCCATTTTGAGGCATCCTCATGCACGCTGTGAGGAATGATGGTCAAAGAGGCTGTGTAAAGCCTCGGATCATCTGGAAAGAGATGAGAGGAAAAGCACAAAATCCGGTTTACATGACGGAAACAGCGAGTAAAATTTAGGCAGGCGGGTGACATCAATTGATTCCGCAGCTTGCTCGGAAGCCTATTGAGCAGAGCGCAGGCTGCATCATCAAATGCCTTGGCTTCCAGTTCGTTTCCGTCACAACCTGCCATCCAGGACTGAATGTGTCGAAGTAGCTGCGACCGTCTCCTCGTCATCTGCCCACAGCCAGGTCTGTCCAGGTACTACTCCAGAAATCTCCGACACAAAAGTACCTGCATGAATGCGAGCTCCCGAACTGCCTTCGCGCATCTCAGGCAAACATTAACAAAAGATTGATGCTATCGCTGCCCAAGTCTTCCGGTCGCAAAGTTTACGCTACCACAATTCTCCCTCCCTGTATACAGCCACCTCTAGACTACTGTCGGGCCGGGTGAATACAAGCTGTCGGCCATACGGCACGAGGTTGGTAGGCCAGCTATGCTGCAGACAACTCAGCACAACCAACACAATAATTGACAGTTCGTCCAAAGCGCAACATCCAGCCGTCTTCAACGAATGCATGCCATGCTCAGGGCATGCCCGATAAATGTCCTCCTCATGATTCTCCCGATCAGAAGTATGGCCAAGCAATTGCAAGACGTCCAGGAGCGGTGCCTAAGCTGTCGCACGTCAGTTGGTCTAATTGTAGTATGCAACAGGTGAAGCTGAACGCTGCAAGCAGCAATCGTCTGCTCGTCGAGCACTGCCACAGCAGCCGAAAATCGTTCATTCGCTTCCCTTCACGGCAGCACGGGCAGCTCTTCACACAAATTCGATGGGTCGAGGCTGCCTCTTCACTCGAGTTGGAGCTCGACAAGGCGTTCCTCAAGACTCGGCCGCAAGGTTCGCTTGACCAGACAGCTACAATCTGCCTTACAGTACAGATTCTCCCCAGCACATTCTTGTGCAGGGATCGTGATCTGCTACTGCTACGCGGAGGGCACGACAGCGGCAGCGCCATTGCCCGGGCTAGGCATGGAAGTTGAAGCACACATGCGCGGGAACCCGATCACATGATTGAGGTAAAAGGTAAAAGAAACATTGTGCATACGCATGCGCATAGGTACGCGTCTATGCACACGTGTGCATATGTTCATTTACATGCGTACATACCCACGTACATGCACATGCATACATACATACATACATACATACATACATACATACTTACATACATACATACATACATACATACATACAGAAATGCATACATACATACATACATACATACATACATACATACATACATACATACATAGCTACACACATACACGAATGTGTACAAGGGTATGCACGTGTGCATGTAGCTCGTGTCTTCTCTCTCTATATATATATATATATATATATGTATGTATGTATGTATGTATGTATGTATGTATGTATGCGTGTATGTACTTATGTATGTATGTATGTATGTATGTATGTATGTGTGTATGCATGCATGCATGCATGCATGCATGCATGCATGCATGTATGCACGTACATAGGTATGTCTGAATGTATGCATGTATGTTTGTATGTATGTACATATACATATATACAGATATATGTATATACATTTATTTATGTCTGCGGTTATTTGACTTTTACATACAACAAGATATAGACGCACATACCAATACGTATTTGTTTGTTTTGTACATGTTTATATGTTGATTTAATTGCCTATCTTACTCTTCTATTTATGTATTTATTCAAAGTATACTTCCTTACTAAGTATGTATTTGTTCGTTGGCTTGTCTGTTACTTATTTCTAGTGACTGGCTGCTTTCCTCTAACTCGAGAAATAAAGCCCTTCGGCCCTGCGCTTGCGCAGGTTGCGAGTACAGGAGTGTGATGACCAGAAGGTATGCAGCTCGCCGCCTTGACGTTCATGCTTTGTCCGTCTGTAGCATAGTGGGATCTGCACAGACGGGCGGAGAACAGCAGATTAGCACAGAACAATCGCTCCCTATTTGAGCCGAGGGCGGCACAGTATGCTGAGCACAGAGCTGCCAGCCATGGTCCACAGTGTGGAACTCGGTTGCCACGATTGCACTGTTTCTGAGCGAATTCAGAGCCCTTCCACGACTGGGCTTGCAACTCCCTATCCCAACGATTGACGATGCTCAGCACCGCCCCTGCAATTTCTCCATCTGTTTAGAATTTGGAACAGAGGGCCTTGACATGCCACTCCCAATGCAGCATAGACCCACCCATCACGCCTGAAAAGAGCCCGGAGATAGCCCCGTTGTATGGATAAGGAAAGCCGTCTCTCGTCAGCACCTCGAGATGGAGCTAGGCATGCATGCTAAGGCTAAGCTGTGCTGAAGGACAGCTCCGAAAGTTATCTGAAATGTAAGGTGATCGCACATGACGAAAACGATGTCAAGAGGCACCTCACGAGCAATGGTTCAGAAAGAGACACGCAGGGTGGGCGAATGCATACAGGGATGTCCTGATCAGACAACTGACATTCCAAAAAGATGCCGTCTGCAGTTTGCACTGTCGCCCCGTCCACACCATGCCAAGAGGCCAGACGCCGGCGAGCGCCGCGGGCCGAACAGTGCCCTTGAGATGTGCCAGCAGGCCGACACCCTGCAAGGGCATTGCAAAGACAGGAAGATTTTCTCCCTCAAATGCTCTCGACAGGCTTGGCGCCGTCTCCGGCCCGAAGACCAAGCCAAAGATGCCACCTGCAGGGGATAACGCCCCGAAGCCTGAGCATAGCCCAAGCCCTTCCACATGAAATAGCCATTGGTTTGCAAGCCAAGCTCAAAAAGTCAGTGGGCCTCTCACTACTCTAAATGCATGTGGAAACGCACTGGAGTAGGATGCCTGAAGCATGCATGAGCAGCTGAAGATGCCAAACGACAGCTTAAGCAGATCAAACCTCTGCCGGCCCCACTCTCGATGCTTTTCTCAATAAATTGGGAAGTCACAGCTACCGTGCTGCCAGGCTTTATGGTCATGTCTAACCCGGCTGTGCTAAAGATGCATGGGTGGCAGGCAAGAAGCTTGACAGTTGCCACCCTGCTAAGGATGAGGTCGCGGCGAAGGCCGCAACAAAGAAGTGTGCAAAAAACAATCTGAAGAAGGGAAACAGATCCGCAGCCAGCAGCTAGCAGAGGCGATGCACTGTCGGTCTGAAATGAACCATGCAGAAAGTGTTGACAAGACGCCGCTGCCTGTTTGTTTGAACAGATACAAGAATGCTCTACATGATTTCCTTGCTCGTCGAATGGCACGATTCGACAGGAGCGACTTCCATCATTTTTGCACAGGGACTACTGCAAGATTCAAGAGGATGGTGCCATGCCTGAATCTTCGCTTCTCGCTGTCATGCGTTGCTGGCTGCATAAGTTCGGCCCCGGCCGGAGCTGTCAGAGCTTCCCCCCCTCTCAAAAGAGCCACCGCCCCCATGCCCCGGGCCGAGGCAGACGACACGAAGCGTTTGCACTTGATGTGACTGTGAGGCAGAATCGTGCCTGCGACAGTTCCACGGTAGAATGATTCCACGCTATTGCTGACCTGGGCTTCTCCGAGCATTCATCGAAGTATGGAATCCCGTCCCGAATATCCGGGTCGCACACACATGACACATCTGGTGGAGGCTTCGTCCACATGGCAAAGAGAGGAACACTCTCGCGAGTGGTCTTTCCTGCGATCGGCTAAGAGCCCGTAAAATCGATCAGCGGGTTCTGAGGTTCAGCAAGCTGGAAGCTGTGCTCTTCTCGTGTGCTGTTTCAGCAAGACAACTCTTTGGCTTCGCGGTGCAAGCTAGACTTGCACCTGCGACATCTACGGCCTGTAGTCTACCTAAGACATAGTCTGCTTGAGCATGCGGCGGTTTCCAACAAGTGCCGCATTCGTACAGTACTTCCACAATCATGCACCAGCACACACCAACAGACTGCGAGTTGGAGCAATAAGGAGACCGTTCCCCCGCGTTTGCTGACTAAGTGAGTGCCCAAGCAAACATTGCACAGCTTTCCAGGATGTCAGGGCACATGTTCCATCCCGGCATCGGCTTCCAAAAAGGCCACTTGCAATCCCGTGCGCTCTTGCAAAATCGATGTTTTCGCCCTCAGAGACCAGTTAGCCATACATCTTGCATTCACCTGCCTGGGAGGCTTAAACAACTTCAAGCGTAACGGCCTGATGGCTCTGCAACCTAGGCAGCTCTAACACTCAACTTCTTGCTAGCAACAACTCTTCGGAAGACTTGCACTTGAGACGAGGCTTGTAATGAAAACCCCTGTGCAAGATTTATCGGCGCAATACCGCCGGACCCACCGCCTGCTGAATAGATCCCCATCTAAACTACATCAGCCTGCCTTGCCCCTGCATCAGATGTACGTTGCAGTCATGGACAGGACTTGCATGTTGGCGAGCTACACCAACTTAATTACATGCACAAACACGAATTAGCATTTGTTCTATGCTCTGTATCGGACCTTGACTAGTCGGGGAAGCATCAACCGTCCTGACACTTCTCGAGAATCAATATGTATCAGCAATCGCAACGAGCAGCGTAAAACGTCCCCGCTGGCCTGCGTCAGATTCCCGAGGCAAGCCTCCACGGTGTTTGAAGGAACATCGGGGATTGGGTGTTTCACCAGCCAACTGCATGGTGAAGGCAACGGAAAGCTGGGTGTTTAGATAGTTAGACTGTCTAGATGAGAAGTCGAATGTGTCAATGCTGTGGCTGTTGATGTACACGGCGGAAGCACAGGCAACGCTGCAACTAAAGCGAAACAAATCATTGAACTTGTCGAGCATGTGAATGGCTCGGTGATACTCGCAAGGAGCAGGCTTGCCGGCTTACCAGCAGTGACGACACTGACCATGCTGGCTGAGAAGGCAGTAAGAACAGTAAGCAGTAAACAGCATAAGTTGAGGACAATAGAGAGCAAGCCTGCGCAGTTGCAAGGAGCGACACTTGCAGCTCACCGGACAACCGAGCGCGGTGCAGCACCGTTTGCTTAGAGTTCCGGCTTGAAGGTAGTGTGTTACGGTGCGGCTTCGCATTTACGATGTTTCTGAGAGTTTCGGGTGTGTCTTGTGCCCTTGTTTCGACGCTGGCAGGCATCCTCGTATGCGATGTGCGGTAGCAGAGCGATCGCCCGATCCTAAACACGAAAATGACTTCTCACTCTGTGACATGCTGCACCTTGGAAACCTAGAACTGAGCCCTAAACGAAAGGGGGCGCATGCAGCACGCAACATGTTTCTTGCTCCCGCGGCTCCCGCCATGACCAAAGCGAAGACTTCACGGAGCTTTGGTTACAGCAACTGCCGTGGCAACAGCAAACACTTGTCAAATGAGAGCTACCAGAAAACACTTCTCAAAAGAGAGCCGGAGCCTGTCTTCAGATCGACCAGAGGCCTTGCAAAGAGAGCGCACGAAGTTGGCATAGAGATGCACACAGCTTCTCACAGCCCCACCTCCCTCCAGCGAGAAGCACTCCCGAAGTTCGCAGAAGGCTGCCTGGGCGGACTCGGACTCAGCGGGCCGGTGGATTCCGGTCCTCCGACGAGCGCGGCCCTTGGAGCGGTCGCCAATACGGGCTGCCCCGCAACTCCTCGGAGAACTCGAAGCGCAACAGCGCTGAAGCCTTTGCCGGGTCCGGGCCTGTGTCTTGCTCCGTTCTCTTGGAGATAAGGAGCCGCTGCGGAGCCTACCTGAACGCGAGACGGCTTAGAGAAATCTACTGGTACGTCGCATATCCGGATCCAATCCTGCATCGGAAGACGAGTTCAGAGACAAAGCGGCCTCAAGACATGTCTTCGAATCATGTGCATCTCGGCTGCATCTTATCCAACTAGGGATACTGCAGCCTTTCGGGAGTCTGGGCCTCTCGGATCATTAGCTCAGCAGAACAGCCAGGCAACGCTTGCATGTCTGCAAGCGACAATCTCGTCTAATGAAAAAACGATTCGCCTCCAGTTCGGTGTAGGTCAGCCCTCAACTCGCTTCTACCCGAAGTGCCGTTGTCCGCCTCCTGACGTCCAAAACTCCGCACATGCTGCATGTCGGCAAGCATCCACATGCATCCGAAACCCATGTCCTGAACTGACCACTTTGGATGCACCGTGGGTTGCCGGGCTTGTGGAGAAGGCCTGGTCTGGACATCTGATATAGATTCACCTTGACCTGCCTGTATAAAAGCACAAAAAAGCGCCTTCTCCCTGAACGCGATCGAACTTCGCTAAAGGTCGGAGTGGCCTGCTGCCAGTAGAATGCAAAAATCTCATATGACTGTACCAGCTTACAAGGCGAGACCGGAATCCAAGTTGCTAGCTTGCAAAGGATCTTGGTCGCGCTGCCTCAGTCACTGAACTCCTGGCTCTAGTCTCAGAACCCAATGAGCACAGCTCCTGAGCATCTTCTCGTGACGACGGACCAGGTCATCCATTCCCTTGCAGCACACTTTTGGGTGCTCTCTCTTGGTCTTCGTCCCTCCATCCCCGCCTTGGCCAGGTGCTTGTGCTTCGCCAGCTCGCGGGTCAGCTCCTTGGTGTCTGCCAACATCGCGTCCATGCGTCGCAGGCCGTTGTGGCAGCGGCGCTCACTTTCCTCAGAAAATTCAACGCACCGAAGCCGAGCGAATCCCTCAACGATGCCAAGCTTTCGTCGGACAGGGCAACAAGCGCAGACTCTTCCGCGGCTTTTGCTGCCTGAGCCTGACAGGGCCGCGGGCTCTGAAGTTTCCTTCACTCCATCACATGCCTGTGCAAAAGCTGCATTCATCTCCGCTTCCAAAGACACCTCCGGCAGAGCAAGGTGCAGGTTACAAGGTGGGTAAACATTATTCTTGCAGCGCAGCTGCTGTCGTCCTCTCAAGCTCCATCGAAGCTTGCCTGACAGTGCTGAGCTCCAAGAAAGAGCAAAACCATGTGGGAAGTTCGGGCCTGTTCGCCAGCGGTGTTTGCCGTCCCTGGCCCTTACATGCTTCTCATTCCACGTTTGTAAACTTCATGATTCGCTGTCGTTTCAAACCTCAGAATCAGAAACTGGGGAAGGCACCCACAGGCTCGAAGTTGCATCGCGAGTGTCCCACCTTGGCATGAGGGACAGTTGGGTGGCACGTGCATGGCATGCAGGCTGGGCCAGGCTGGGGAGAGAGCTCCAGATCCGCCACTCGCTGCCTGTTGCGCATTGGACACGTGGACACCAGACAGTTAGGTGTATTCGACCGCTTGCCGACTTCGCCTCGCAGCTGCAGCATCCTCCAGAGCCCTGTCCAGTTGAAACCTTGGCCCGCAAGCGGCGCTGCCACGCCCAAACTTCGAGAATCCGGCACCATCCGAGCTTGCAGCTGGAGGTCCTGACCTGAAAGCAAGCAGAAAGCCGAAAGAGCTCCCAGTGTCGCGAGAGCGACAGCCATCGCTCCATTACTGCACTGAGCTTTGATCATCGTCGCTCCAGGTCTGCCGTGACCTCAGAGGAATGCATTTTCTCAGGATCGTGTGGATCTCATGATGCTCTGTGAAGTTACGTGGTGGCAAGCGCCGCTTGTGCAGCCACGCAATTGTGCAGTACAGTGTACAGTGTTCTGCCTCCATAGTTGAACTGTGATCCCTTTCTGCTCCTACGCTCATGATAATTCAAAACACATGCCCAGCTGCAGCACTATATAACAGTTTCGAGAATAGCATGGTTTTCCTCAGAGAGACTGCTGCACTGCTCGCGAGGGACGGCCCAAAGACAAGACACCGGTCAGTCAGACAAATACGTAAAGCAGAGGTTGTGGCTCATGCGACCCAATATCGGTGAACATGCGGCGCAAGGATTTCGGGTGGAAGGATTCGGACTTCATGCTCGTGGCTAGTCGTCAAGCCAAGTCAGTGGTGCAACTGCGACTCAAGCTTGGAAGTGTGGGGCTGTTTGCCGCAATCTTCCCAACTCTCCAAACGGCCGCTTTCCGCCAATCTGGGGATTTGGGAAGATTTCCGCAGCAGCCGAAATTTTGGAGGATTTTCTCGAAACCAGAAACTTTAAAACGTCCCCTTGGCACACAAGTCACCCTCGTATACCGCAGAAGTCATCCCAGAGGCCGGTGCAAGAGAAAGGCTTTGCAACGATTCTCGTGCAACAATCTCGGGGCCTGCTGCACTTCAGCGATTGGTTGGCTCTGTTTGCAAGGTTCCCCCCGGGCCCCAGCAAGAGAAGAACCGTGCATCTGCAGATTCAGGTTTCACAGTACCAGAACTTCAGCTGGATCGAAGGAGACAGGCTCGACTTGGTGGAAGAGAACCCTACATGTTGCGTAAGCCAAAGGCCGGCGACTGGAGCCGTGGAGATTGTAACCTTGCATGGCATCAACCCAACAAGGAAGCTCCCCACGTCTGTGAAGAACCTGGGTTCGCCGGAATGCCTGCCATCCGCTTCGCCTTTCAGCCTACAAAGCCAGAGCACAGCATGTCAGGAATGCGACAACAGGCAATTGTGAGTGACCCTGCCAGCTTCGCATCTCTTTCCGAAGCTCATGGCGAGCACGATCAGAGTCCTGCAAGGTTTCCTGCTTCACTTTGCTTCTTGAACTGAACAAGATTCTGCAAACTGACAGAAACAGTCCTGAGTCAGCCTCGCACAGATTCTTGAAAGGCAAGAGTGCAAGAGAGCAGCTGGCATGACTGACATTAAGCCTTGAGGCCTTGGACGACAGGAAGCTGCAAGTTTTCAAGCTGAGTCAAAGAACGGATGGTCGAGACTGTGACACGAGCCTCTGACGGACAAATAGCAGACGACCAAACAAGCTGTACAGTGGCCGTCGTGGCTTGCAGCGCAGCCACGTCGTCCGGCGTGGATTTGCTTTGGAGCTTGCCTTCGATGCCGCGGCTTGCTCGTCCGCTCCGCGCCACGGGCGCAGGAGTCGCACACACATCTGCGCACGGTATCACAACTTCATCTGGAGCCGGAAGCTTTGATGTTCGCGACATTGCACCACCCCCTCATCCCAACTGGCAACCCGTCGCATTGACGATCTGCCCGACGCCCTCAAGGCTGTTCTTCCGATGAGTACTTGAAAGCACCGGGTACCGAAGTTACGGACGACAGCTTTGCACAGCTGCACATGCACCTGTGCAGCTGCACAGAACTGTCGTGTATAGGCGACCTCTGAGTCTGTTCCTACAGCCTTGGTGCAGCCACAGCTATAGGAATATATTTAGCCAGGCCCCATTTCGGGGATGCATGTTGGCCCGCTAAAGACTGAGACTTCGACTGGCCATGAGCCTGCCAAGTCCAAGAAAGAACATGAACGCTCCGAACGGATCTCTCAATCACCATGCCTCGTCTTGCCCAGCAGTCCTGCGTCATATGTCGAACCAATCTCTGTGCTTGTGTCGGTGCTAGCCAGTCCTCCGTTCCAGAGCTGTCTCGAGTACCCGACATCTCGTCCGGGCTTCACGCAGCTCGCTCAGGAGCATGTCCCCAGGCACCTCCAATGACATTTATCAGCTTTGCGCCTTACGGCCCATGCTCGTCAGCGGGCTGATCTACGCAACGGTGTCACATTGAGGGCGCGCTTTGGAAAGACGGAACAGGCGAGGCACTTTCCGTCCACAGGCGGGGGCAGTGCTTCCTGCTTCACCTAACCTTTCCAAACCAAACGTTTCTCGGGAAAGCCCTCAGAGGCCGTCTTGCCGGAGCAGCCGCTCTGCAGTTGGAATTTACACATTTAAACGGCTGGCGGCTCTGACCAGCGACCGAAATGTTAGTTTGCACTGCGCTGCTCATTCGAGAAACAACCCATGTCTCTTGTCGCACTTCTGAGGTTGCTGTCGACTTCATCACACATTGCTAGAAGGTCTATGCGTCCAGCAAGCATTAGCGGCTGCTGCCCCGGTTGCTACAGCTGCTATGTCTATGATCCCATGACACCTTGTGTCATGAACCTGACCAGACAAACTTCCTGTGAGTTTGCTACTAAGGGTTGCTCCGAATGGCTGCAGGCAGGGTGGGGCGCTGCGAGCCTCGGCCGCGATTCGCTCAATGTCCTGCCTCTGGCTCACCATTCCGTTTCGTGATCGTTCCATGATCCATGTCGAAACAACTCAGCGAGAGCATCGCGCCTCATGCTGTCTTGCTCGCGAGCCTTCAGTGCAGGGATCCGTGCGAACAGGTTGCATCCGCGGAGGCATGAGGCGAAACATGTGATGCGTCGCCTGGTGGTTCCAACGCTTTAGCTCATGCAGAAGATTCGAGGGTGCCTGGCTGGGGCAAACTTTGTCAAAATCGTCTGAAGCCGTCTGGAGCCTGCTGGCGTTCCATGGCTTCGGCCAGGGCTTTGGTCAGACGGTCCTGCATACGCCCAGCACAAAACCAGGTTGACTCATGCGACGAAGCGTAAGCGGTCATCCTTCTCCTTTGCGTCGGCTTCCGCCCTCTGCAAATCTGAGGCGGAGCACTCGCCTGGGAATGGAATGGAAGAAGCCGAAGCCGAGGATCCCACTTCCATGCAATGGTGCAATGCCGAAGAAAGTCGCACGCTCATCTCGTGCCGAAGCATTCGCCTTGATTCGTGCTCCACAATGATGCTCCCACTTCCTCACGATGCCTTTGTGCTGAGGTCCGGGGACCTGGCACCTCCTTCTCCGACTGTGCCTCCAAATACCTTTGTGAAGCAAAGAGAAGACGTGTGTCGTGTCGAGATCGGTCTGGACGACTGCCTTGCCGCTTTGCGCTGAGACTCCAGGGTGGACTCGAGCAGGCGACACTCTCTCTGCCTCCGACAGCCACGAGGCATCACAACATATATGACAATGCAGTGGCCACGGCCCATGCATGTGCCTCGTCTCACATTCGGACTGGAGCTTCTTGGCGTCTACCGCGAGCCTCCAGCACAAACCAGACGAGAACCTCTCTTCATGAGCTCGACATTAGAACGGCCTTTCTCGCTCTGCTGTGACCTGCACCAGCTGTGCCTTGTCGTTTGCTTTTGTCGGTGCAGAAAGCAAGGATGCTGTCAACCGGAGGGAGAGCGGGAAAGTCTGGAGCTGCAATTGAGGCAACTATCAGCTCAACTCAAGAAGGTATCTCAGGCAGCTGCACCCTGGTCTTGCTGCACCCGGAGCTGCTTCGCCTCTCAGCGGCCAATGGAACAATGCCAGCCTCCTTTGAGGACCCAGCTATCTCTTCCTCCTCCGCCCGCTCGGAACGCAGCTGCGTCAGGGCCTCACTGATCACTGGTTGCTACATCGACTGGAGCCCATATCTCATCGACCTCCAGCAGCTTGCTTTTGTCCTCTACAGCCTCGAGCAGGGCGAAGCGGCTCACGTTGCAGAGTTTACTATGATGCAACACGGGCCTACGTCTATGCTTTGCCACCCATCCCACCTCTTGTTTTGACCGGTGGGACTTCGCCAACTCTTCGCGCAGTTCTTGAAGCTGCGCATGGCAGCTTGCTTGAGAAGCCTTCGAAAAGAGATTTAGTCTAAATAAACCACTTCTCCCAAGCAGTAGCATCAACACGGAGCGAGCCTCTGAGATGCTAGGCAATGCAAAGTGCTTCGGTTGAGGCGACTGAATTCTTTAGGAAAGTCAGGAAAGACCCCTCAGACATTCTTTGAGGAAACCCGGCGCGACACCAGATTTACGTTTCTGAATCTCGGGTTACTAGACGAGATGTTGTCGGAAACGAAGCAGGTAACATGGTCGATAACTAGTCGAAAGTATCTTGACATCCACGTATCTGCCACCCCGTTCTTGCACCACACTCATCAGATCGGAAGAACCAAATAGTGACACAAGTGAGTCGAGGTGGCTTGTTTTTCCTCAACATCAGTCCTTCAGGAACCTTCATTAACCATTAACCATGATTTTTTTGTTGGGCGGGGGGTCCCAGATGTTCTACCTAGACTTCCACTCAGAGCTATATGGGGTCCTGCCAGTGGCGGTCTTGCTGTTGTTAAGAGTTGCACGAAGCTCGGGTGTCCTGCGCACGTGGCCTTTCGGGGTTCAGGACTGGCCAGTCACGCAGTCATCGCTCCAAGCAGGCTCTTCTCTACCCACCACCATGCCATTCCGGAAAAACATAATTGTGTTTGACAGTCGGCGCTTCTCCTCGCGCTGCGTGCCGTGCACAGAATGTGAAAGACCAGCTGTAAACTGTCCTGAACACGTCTTTACTACAGTTCTCACACGTTTGGTCTCTCTCAGTCTCAGTTCGTAACTCGTCTAAGCAAAGACTTAACGAAGTCACCTCAAAGCGTATGTTGCTCAGACCAAAGGCACTCTTCATGAGCTTCGGGCATGCGAACATGCAGATGAACTTGCTTAATTGTGCGTGTTGGAGCATGATCAACCCAGCGAAAGATGCTGCTCGGACTATGGATCCTTGTCTGTATGTTCGCTCTCAGGCAGCACTCAAGTCGGCTAGTTGGGTTTGAGCAAAGCTCATTTCTTTCGACACAGAGGCCGTCGATGCAGAGACCGTGTTCACTTGCAACATCGTTGCCAAGATGAAATCTGCGCCCGCTTGCAACAATTTCCAAAGGACTCCTTGAGCACCCATGTGCCGGCACGTACGCGGCATCCTCCAAGTTGTGTTCGCCCTGTCGCCGAGTGTCGCAAGCCGCAAAGGTTCTCTTCAACAGCGCTCAGTCAATGCCAGCACAACACAATGCATTTGCATGTGGATTCGTTGATAGTTCTGGTGATTTCGCTTGACAGTCTGCGTTGCCATTCAGCGAGGAGGTGAGGCTGCGTATAAACAGGCAAAGCTGAATTGCCCATCATGTTCAGAGGTGATCAGTTTGGATGCAGTTCCTTCGAAGGTCAGGGGGCTTTCACAACAGCCTGCCCCGACGAGGCGTCATGTGGAAATCCAACACCTGGACGGTGTCGCTTCTTTACCCCGAAGCACGCACCCTAAATCCGCAGAGAGTACTTTTCCAAGCGCTGGTGCCAAAGCGCTGAAGTTGCACCAACTGGACTGTGCCGGTTAAGCAAAAGCATGGAACGATCAAATCACGACAGCATGACCTGAACATTAGCCCTTCCCTTTGAAGGCTGCTTAGATCGAAGGTCGACGCCCAGCAAGTGCCTGCAGCTTCACGTTTTCCTCCTTCAACCGGACCAGGCAGTCCTGAAGTGCGAGGAGCGGCGAGCAGCAAGCAGCGAGACGATTCCGTGACAAAGCTCTCTGTGCGGGTTTAGGGTTCAGGTTTGCGGAGCGTTTGCAGATGCGAACGTGGAAACCATGTTGGCCACCTCGGTCTGGCCGTGCTGAGCAGCTGCCTCTGACAAGACAATTTTGCTTTGAAGCCGACCGAAGGACCGAAGCCTCCGCAGCCCCCTCACGAGCCCGCGTTCGCAGGGAGGACAAGGCACGTGCCAGCCTCTCCCTGGCAGCCTAGAAGTAGGAGCTTCTTGGCGGTTCTAGCTCAAAGCCGGCTCCCTTACGGCGCCTCATCCTGAGACTCGGCAAACCGCAGTCGCTCGACGATGACCTGCCCCGATCGGAAGCAAGCGCCCCTTGATGAAGAGTCGGCGTCACCTCACGCTCCCGGCTACTCAGCTGCCGCTCGTCATGAAGAGCCGCCTGTGGAAGCGGAAGAGCCGCACAAGACAAAACTCTCTCCTACGAGTTCTTTCACTCTTCCCGAAGCACCTCAGCAGAGCGTAGCTTCTGCAGCAGTAGCTGAGCCTCTCGGGCGTTCAACGCCAGTGCCTCGACAGGCGCATCAGAATCAAACTCTCGAAAGGCACAGAGCAGTCGGCTGCGATGACTTGGCCAAAATTACCCAGGACCCAGGCGATACTGCAGGTAGCTTGCAAATGGCATCCCATTCACAGCACGAAAGCAAATTCGACTTCAAACCCGTCCAGCGCCTCCTGTCGCGATCCCACCCAATCGTCGCTCCTGGACGCAGTGGCTCTTGAAGCGATTGTTTCTGGGACTTTCATAAAGTTCGTCTGAGCCCGGCACGACTGAGTCATGGGCCCAGTGGGTCCAATAATGGAATGCGACAGGCGGAAGGTTTCCACCAGCAAAGGCGGCCGCCATCTGTGAAAACAACGATGCTCCAGCGGCCCGGCTCGTCCCGGCCCGATGCTATGCAAGTGTTCGTCGATGCCTTCTTTTGAGTTGGGGTCCGAGTGCTTCGGCAGCTGGCAAAGCTCGATGCTCGACGATAAGAACTTGAATCTCGCCTTCAATGCTGGTTTGAGCTTCTGGTAGCTTCTGAAAAGCACGGCAGAACCATCACCAGACGAAGCAAGAGCCAGGCTTGAGAAAGCCGTCCCCTCTTCACGCACCCCTCGTGCCGCTTCCCGTCTGGAAGTGGGCGGCACACCCACAGGCGGCCCAGAACCCAGAACCCTCGCGCGAGGGAGAGACGGCCCATACCTTTTGTGGTGATCTAAATTCAAGTAACTTCTTGCCAAGGCTAGTGACATAGACCTTGTAAACCGAGGTGAAGCTCTCGCACTCTCTCACCCTCACGTGCCGAGCGGCCCTCGGAATTGCTTTTCTGCCCTAGCTTCAAGCGATAAGGGAGGCGTGTCTCGTGCTCAGCGCTGGACGCTGGATAGGCTTGCTACAAGTGTTTGCCATTGAGGCCTCTAGGATACCATGAGCGAGCGCATATCATGACGGCATCATGAACGATTGCGCCAAAGCTCCGTAGTTCTGCATGGAAAAACGGGAGTGCAGGCAAATTTTATTGTACAGGAGAACGCATCGTTCTAGCTCTTGATCCGCTCACCGGTCAAGAGTGGGTTATGAGTCGTTGAGAAAGTCATGCAAGTGCTCTGCTGGTCTCCGGTCCAGTCAGTTCCCCCGTTTAATTTGAGGGTAGGTGACTGTGTTTTGACTCCTGGGCATCAAGTGCGCTATGGCAGCTGTGCCCGTGAGGCAAGGTTCAGCGGCACTTTCCGCCGACAAGTTCTGACATTGCCTAGTTTCTGCCAAGCTCTTATGCTCTGTGCCAGGGTTTACCATGCCCGTCGCGCCGCGAGCTGTAGGATTAGCTGCCGACAATCAAAGCCTCAGGCATTTGTACTTGCACACCATGTGTTGAATCTTGGCGAATGCGACATGAAGCGAGAGGCTGTTGATAGTATCCTTTTGCTGTACTTACTCAGCTCCACGAAACGCTGAGGCAGAGGCCAACATCATGAAAAGAATGCTCGCCCTCAGCTACAAGGTTTCAGGTTGTTTCAGGAGCACCAAAGCGTTGCGTCCCAACAGCATCCTGCTGAGAAAGCCAGGCATCAGTGAGCCCGCGAAGGGCACGCCCAAGCGCAGTGCGCTGCTGACGCTGCCGTTGCCCGAATCCGAGGTGTCTTGCTCGAAGCTCACGACCTGCATCAGCGACCGCCGCGACCGCACCAGACGAACACTCATGGACGCTCCGAAGCTTTCTTCCTTCCGGACCTTCTGAGAATGTGTCCCAGCACCGAAGGCTTGGTCAACTTTCTCTTTCAGCATTGTGTTGAAACTCTCTGCAGTGACCGCATCAAGCTTGCCCTGCACCTGCGCTTCAAGCTTGTCTTGTAGACACCCGCTGAAAGGAAAAACTTCGGCCCAGCCTGCTCTACAGGCACAATGGGCACCAATTCGCCACCCGCTCCCTCTACGAAGGGCACTGTCAGAATGTAGTCGACTGTGATGTTGCCAGCGGCACCAGGAAACATTTGCAAAGCCTTTGCGGGAGACATACACGGTCTGCGGGTCCAACTTACATCGTATCGTTGCTCCCTTCAACTAAGGCCCCAACGATCCAGTGCTCACTGAGACCGGAAACATCCTCCATGACGTCTTTGTAGGCGGTGATGATTCTGGAGTCTCTTATGTAATCCACGTACGTCGTCACATCTGTGACGACGGCACGGACGGACAGCCTGCCAGACAGTTGTTTCTGCCAGGACATTTCTAAAAGAAATTCGACTTGCCCTCGTCATCCCTCGCCTCTCCACTGCTGCGGGTTCAATCTCCGTAGTCGTGCTCGGTGGCTCTGTGGATTCGGAGATCTCGGTTATGGTGTGAGTCATTGTGCGGGTTGCCGTTGTTGTTATGGTCTTTGTGTCTGTTGCTGTGTGAGTGGAGGTTTCGCTTGCAGTGGAAGTTATTGATGTCTCTGTCAGCGTGTGCGTGGTGGTGACAGTTTCGGAGATGCTGGTGCTGGTCTCCGTGTGTGTCACCGAGGTGACAGTCGTTGCTGTCACGGTCTGTGTGGTGGTTGTGGTTGTCACACAGCATGGGCTGGCACACGCTGTAGAACATGTGCCCATGCTGCCGATACCTGTCGGATGCAAAGTCAAACTTTCATCTGCAAATCATCTGCAATTCTCCGATGCAACATTGGGAGTGTGAGACAGTATGAGACCTGTCCGTGCAGGCGGACCTGTGCAGGTGACGCCAGCATTGGCGAGATCTGCACAAGAGATCTTACCAATGCAAACGAAGTTCCAAGCTTCGTCCGAGCATCCTAAGGGCGGCAACAGCAAACAGTCCCACACAAAACCCAGCAGCTTGCGAAAGGGTTTTCACCAAGCGGCCCTCCGGCTTGTCTATGCCAGATGCCCGAGATATCAGCAGGAGCCATGGCACGAAGGCCCACCCCATGGCGAAAGCTGGTCGCCAGTGTACGCAGCTAGCCGGCGGGTCCCAAAACAAGGCAACGCCTTGATCCGCACAAAGCACGTGAAGCGCCTTCTGAAGCTGTCACGTCTCCCTACAAAGTGCTCAGGTCTAGTCAGACGCAGTCCTTCCACCAGTACACTCAGCTCAAGTCTGCAGCATCGTTGCATCGGATGAGCTCTCCCCACAAGGCAGTCGAACTCTCTTCTCCCTGCACTTTGGTTCTAGTTACCTCTGCGACAGCAAGACAAAGAGGCGTTGTGGCATGTTGTCCCGCCCGTGAGCGTGAGTTTCAGAAGAGCTTACTGTATAGCAGACTCTGTCGGCAAAGGCAAAGGCAGCGGACGAAGGCCTCTGCAGCTTGCAGAGCTTGCTGTGGTCTGTCACGCAACGTAGGTCTGGGATTTCGCGCTTCGCGCTCCGGCTACATGTAGAGCAGACTCGAACGAGAAACAGCTCACCGTCGGTCTCGCTGCCACTGCAGCATGCACTGCTGCAACGTGGTGCGGACATCCTGCTCGGCCAGATGCAAACATGTCTCATTTGCCCACTGCTTTGCTCTACAAGGCAACGAAAACAACGTGGCAGCGTGCCGATCCTTCAGCGGTGCCTCTTGCAACAGCACCTCCAAGAGGCGGTAGCCGTAGAAAAGGAACTTTCACCGTTCAAGGAGCCTCTCCGAGCTGCCGCGGGCCGATTTCCGACTGCAGACCGGGCAAGGCTCCAACCTTGGCACCGGCTCGGCTTCGCAGATTCGGCCGTAGCTTTGCAGCGCTCTTTGCCCTTTTACCCTCCGAGGCAACGACCAGCGATTGCTGGAAGGCTTCCTTTGTCTGCTCGAGCTGCGCCTCATGGCGGCATGGCACTGCGGCTAAGAGCTCTGGCAACAAGGCTACCCACCTGTGGCTGCGCTCTTGGGTTCATCACCGATCGCAGAATCGAGGCAGCCTTTGGTTGCACAAAAGACAAGAGAACTTCCGTCTTTGCACAGCGTGTGGACCCTGTTGCATCTTGCAAGGCTTGTCACAGGAAGCTGCATTGTTTGCTATTCCTTGTGTCGGCTCGGGCGCTTGTGCTATCTTCTTGTTAACCGAAGCCACTCAGGCCTGCATGTCATAGCACACACTGCCTACCCTTGCTCGTTTGAAAAGTCTTGTATTCTTGAGGCTGGATTGCCACATTTGCCGCCGCTTCTTCGTGCTTCGCCCTGGGAGTATCATGAGTATCGCCCCAGCTGCTTTCCGTGCTACGCTTTCAGTTCCAAAGCCCTGTAATTCGTAATAGTCGCCCAGAACTGCCTAGCGGTGACAACTTGTTCTCTCATATGCCTCGCTGAGCACTTTCTGGGACTGGATGTCGTTGTAGTCCATGCCTTGGACTAAACATGACAATCCTACATGGTGGGATGTGACTCTTTGAAAACGCGTACTGAACTAGGAAGGAAGCTGATACATGGTGCTGGAACGCTTATGCACCTAGGCCCCCACGTGCTGCCGACCAGAGCGTTCTCTGCAGCAACTGTGCCTCCGCGGGTGAGCTGGACTTGCGATGCGACCGGTTCGCTTGCGTCTGGGCTCCAGACGATTGGCAAGCTTGCGATGGCCTTAAGAAGTGTGCCCCCACGGGGTGATGCAAGAAAAAATCTTGTTCGTGCCGAGCCGCAGCTGCCGCCTCGCTTGAAGACGTTGCCGCTTCCAGCAAAGCCTTAGAGCTCACTTTGGACACGGAGTCTTTAGAGGGCGCATGCTAAACTTCGATTCAGGCTGAAGCTGCCCAAGCGGATGCAGAGTACAGCACTGCCTTGATCCTTGTGCGAACAAGAACCCTGGGAACAAGTATCAGAGTTCCTAGAGTCACTCAATCGGTCTGTGGCAAGGACTCCCGGGCATCCTGGAGGCCAACCCTTCAAGCTTGGTGCAGGTGGGTGCAGGTGCAGCAGTCAATATGTCGGGCGAAACAAAGCTTGCTTGTCTGAGCTCTCTGCAACAAGAAGCTGGTCATCTCCTGACCGTGCCTTGACATGCAAGTCTTCGCTCTCTGGGAAACCCAAAGCTTCCATGAGCCTTGTGTTAGTAAGCATGGGTTCCAACAGCGCGCTTGGACAGCGCCTCGGCAGCCAAAGCTCGATAAAACGCTGCAAAACAACATGCTCTCTTCTGGGCTCGAGGCTGTGCTGCCTCTTTAAGCAGCTGCAACATGGCATTTCCTAAGCTTGGGCACTCAAGTTCAAATCGCACACGGCTACCAGCCAAACTCCTGCAGCTCCAAGCTTCCAAGCTCCAGCTTCTCGCGCTTGAGCTGATCAGACTGCTCTGGCATTTGCTGCCACCTGTGCTTGAAACACGGGTGACGGAGAAAAGCAAAACATGATGCTGGTCTTTTCAGCCAAGCCCTTTACACAGCCAGCGGACGCAGAAAGGTCTGATGCAGCCTGAAAGTAGTGGGAATGCTGATTGCAAGCGTGCTGACAATATGTTTTGGCAGCAACTGCTTTGCGGTTTCCGGCATCGGCTGTCTTCAGCAAGGCATACATGATAAATGCAAGCTCTTGCTTTTGCTTGCGTCCACAGGTGACAAAATAATGCAATTGACTTGCACGGCAGGTCTCCGCTGGACAAGAAAGCACTTCCGTGTTGGAAAGCTTTCACCATTGAATTGCGTGCGGTGAGCGAGCTGTCGTTGAAAATCTTGAAAAGCTGCCCAAGCCCCAAACTGGCCCGAGCCTTAAACGAAAACCACTGTTTCCAGCATCTCCACCCTGTCCTTGACGTTGAAGCAATTCTTTTAACTGTGAAATCGCTTATGGCGACACCTTCCGGCACTGTCTCTTTGCACGTCAAGCTGAATCAGAAGGGTGTTTTTGAGGCAACGTCGGCATCTGTATGGAGGCTCCATACGACTCAAGGCACAACCATGTCAAATTTTCGGCACTGCTGCATGATTTGAAGAGGGTATGCCCTGATCAGTGATAGATCTGCTGCCCCACCCCCACTGCCTTTTCCAACCTAGCAACCCATGTGGCCGGCACAATGGTCCTTACATCAAGAAACAAATCGAATTTGTGAAATGCTGGTACAGATGAAAACATAGACTGCAGGAATGGTTGCATAGGTTTTGTCGCTGTCGGCAACTGCACTGCAGGTGGTAGGTATGTATATATATATATATATATACATATATATATATATGTATATGTGTATCTGTATATGGATTTCTATCTATATCTATATATATATATATTAGAGAGGTGACGGGCATCTGTTCTTAGAGTCAAACTCCTCTAGGTAAGTGCGGAAATAGCTCTAACCCATCCATGTGGAGCCCACAAAAATGACTGAAGACTATGTGGCTGGTGCACTCGCCGAACTCAGCGAGTTGTGTGCGGAGGTCGCTCAAGCCGAGGAACATTCAGGAGCCTGCCACGCGACAAGAAGCTCTGGCGGGCACATGATGACTTTCACAGCGCCTGGGGATGCGAGCAGGCAAATATCCCGTCAAAGCTACTCGCTTGCCGCCCTCAGGATGACCAGGTCAAAAGCACAACTTCATTTCATCTGCTGAGTTGCCGACCCCATTCAGCACCGGCTGCAAAAGATCATCCAATGTCCTTGCTCTCACTAAAAGTCGGTACTCTCAACTGATAAGTGCATTGTCACGACCCGAACAAAAAACCGCAAGCCGTTGGTGCAGGTCAGGAATCGGCTTCAGCAAAGCACGCGTTGAACGTGGTGAATGTATCAACGGTGATAGCTTCCGCCTTGATGCCTTCGGGTTGAGGATTTCCTCGGCCGCTCATGAACAGAACCTTGTATCACACAGCTGTATAGGTGGCGGACCTGTTTCGTCGATTTTTTCCAGTGGCCCGCTGTTAATCGGCCGCAATGCCGAGTCTCAACACCAAACCACGAGGCATCTCGATAATAAATCCGACACCAAGAACACGAGCGGCACAAAACTGCCAGCAGGCACTAAAGTGGTGCGAGCATGCAGACATTGGCAAGCTGGTCCGGCTAACGGCTATTGGCCCTAGAGCCGCTAGAGTCATTCTCGGATAGTGAGTGGAGCCGGTGAGTGAGACGGTACTTGTTGCTGGGGATGGGAGAGGAGGGCGGGAGGGCACGGGAGAGCCGCACTCGTTCCCGTGCAAGTCACCTTCCGGATTTCCAAGCCAGGCAAACCACATCGCCGCATTGGTCTGTTCGCGATCCCTCAAACACGGGCGTGAGGAATAACGAATCCGGGAGAGAGTGAGGAGTGAGTAAATGAGTGAGGAATGCAAAACGTGACCGAAAGCGGAGAGAGTGAATCAACGAATGACATCATGAACCGTCCCTCCCACGCTGTGTAGTCATGGACGTGGAATTTTGCACGGGTAAGTTGGCTTTTTTCGGAGGGTTCTTCTCTCATGCCATGTGGAGCATGTAGCTGGGAGTGTGCTCTGCTTGGGGTTGTCTTTGTACCGGCTTCGTGCTCTGCTTTATCCACGGCTGAGCGACATCGTCAGGCCGGTGCACTTCTCCCAGCATCATGTCCTGTCAGAGGGGGCGGAGGACAACCATCACCGACACACGAAGCATGTGGACTCCTGTGCGAGCTCCTTGAACTGGCCCATGAAAACCCAGTCGTCAGCTGCTTCTTGAACCCAGTGCTTTCTCTCACGGTCCCTGATAGCAAGCAAAGCAACCTCCGCTGCCAGTTGCCAAAGCTGAATGTGCCAAGCCACTTTCGTTGCTCACAGTGGTGCGGGACGTGCCTTTCCTCAATTTCATCACCTTGCAGCTGCTCTACGAAAGCTGCACTAGAACATTGATAGCTCTTGCCTGCGCGGCGGTGAGGCCAGGTGTAAAGAGGTATCAGCGGCAAGTCTGCCCGCATTTGCAAGGTCTGCTTCACTTGCGCCACCTGATCTAAACACTGCACGACTCGCAAGAACCGAGGGCCGCGGCCATGAAGATTGCTCTGCTTCAGGGAGATCATCCACTGAATAATGCCTATTAACGGCATGTGGACTTTGGCATAGTCATGATAGCAGAACATCCTTGATGTCCTGATCCTTGGAATGTAATCTCTGTTGAACGATCTCTGGACTAGAAGACACGGCCTTTAGGCTCAAAAGCAGACGAACCAGACCTTCATCTTGTTTGATCGGATCATGGGCGTGCAAGTCATGCACAACTCTTTCTTTCTGGCTCTCCACAGCAAATGTAGGGAAATATGTTGCCTCGCAAGAGCTTCAAAGCAGCTTGTCATCCTCTTGGCCTACGGCTCAAACCCGATATCAATAGTGCGTGAATGTCAGCCATGTTTTTCTTGCTGGGCAAAACTACGATTTGTTTGTATGCAGTGACTTGCACAGAGTGCCAAAGCATGCAATCCTTTGCACTCAGATTCTGAATCCCTCTTCCCACTTGCCGGAGGCAGCTGCCACCTCTCCGAAAAGTTTCGGTGTTTTTTCATACCACAATGTCTGGCAGAATGCTCACACGACACCATTAGTTGTAGTAGCATGTTAAGTTCGAGCAAATCATGTCAACTTTCGCCGCAGCGCCTTGGAAGAGCGGTCCGACTCATCCACAAATTCAGGATCATCACCAATGCTCGAATCGCTTTTCAGTGACCGCTTGCTGTGCGATCGGCAGGAGAGTTCAGACAGCCTCTCGGGTCGCGCCTGCTTCTGCACGTGCTTTCGGACCGTGTCATCAATTCGACGAATATGGCTTTCTCGCTTCTCGAGGTGCGTCCTCTCTTCTTGTGAATTGTTGTCAATTTCCCAGTCGTCCAAGAAACATGTTTCCTGCATCGACAAGACACCTTCTTGGTTGACATCCAAGGCTGCAAACAACTGACGTGCGTTGCCTACATAGCCATAGATGCGACAGTTGCCACGAAATTCTTGGAATGTAAGGCTGTTGGACGCGTCGTGGTCGAATACACTGAAGGCCGCTCTCACTGTGCCAAACTCCCGCCACGCCCAGCTCTTGAAGTTGGAAAGGGTAGCGCTGGCCTCTGAGTCCAATTCATTCAGCGTGATGTACCCTGAAAGATCCTCATCAAATGCCCGCCAGGCACCCGCAACGTCACCATGGTATCGAATCCTGTGGCATGCAGCCTGGAACTCAGACCAGCTGCAGCGGTTACTGCCATCTTTGTCAAGAAGCTGCTTCCACGCCTTGAGAAAATGCCCACCGTACTTCTGTCCAATGAGATCTCGGATTTCATCTCTGGCGGCATGGTTTGCTTCTACAAGAAAGTACGGATGAGGATGCCATTTCTCCAAAAACCTGAAATCGGACTCCTCGATCGTTTTGGAGTTAGATTTGTCTAAATGTTGGAAGAGCTGTTTGGTATGGCCAGACCAGCCCCACTCAAGCAAGGACTTCTCAAACTGCTTGTAGCTCACTTTCTTCCCAGAGTCCGAATCCAGTGATGCAAAGCCTTGCGTGACTGATCCAAAACGACTTTCCAGGAACGCCTTGAAGCGCGCGAGTGCCTCAGCACTGGGGGGATCCAGCTCTTCCAATGCCGCAAACCCACTTTCGTCTTTGTCCAAGACGTGCCAAAGATCCCGCGCTTCATGTGAGAAGCCGATTAGAGCGCAGGCCTTCAGGAACGGAGTCTTTGGGATGGACATAACATCGTTGCTGCACAAGACCACTCGCCATGCCCGAACAAGGTTCCCATGCTTCTTCACCAGGTATTCCTTGAAGCGGTTCATGGTCTGCTCTTGGGCTTCATGTGCTTGCTGCTTGCGGAGCGAATGGATTGCACGGCTCTTTGCTTCCATCTTCCGCTGAATGCGGTGGAACTCTGCCTCCAGCCACCTGAAGCTTTCGCGGCCCAGCTTGCCTCACACAGAGAAATGCTCGGGCTTCTACTTTAGTACCTGCAACCCCAAGGTGCCTGATGCATCGAAGTCTAGGCCGCTGAAGAGAAGCTTCTCCTGACCATGCTGCCATCCCATCTCCTTGATGCGCTTCTGGAACTGCTCTTCCTGAGCTGAGGCTCCCGAAGTGGCAAGTGGCATCTTGGCTCATCCCAAGCAACTCAGAACTCAGAATGCTTCCGCACTGCTTCCGCCTTCCGCCTGGCCAAGCTTCCGTGATGGCGGAGTGGCGCGCTTTGATGGTCAGCCGGCTTTTCAGGCGCTCCTCGTTGGTGTTCCCAAGCCGCGTCAAGAGCTCCTCGACGGATCGAAAGGTCTTGATGCACCAGAGACGGAAGCTGCTCCACAGCACCTCAGCTTTCGACAAAGGTCTAAAAACTGCCACCGCCATATGCAGGAAGGCTGCAGCTTGGGCCGGATCGATCTCGTACATGGTGATCTCCTCGGATAGCTGCCAATCTCGATTGGCAATGGTCGGTTAAGGTCGGTTACACTACACCTTTCCGCCGAGCATCACCCGAGCGATCATCATCAAGCTCGCTGAAAAGCTGTTGTATATTTCCCGGGTACTGATACTTGCGCAACACCTCGCTGAACTCAATCTTGTTGATGCGCTGGACCTACAAGTAGGGTAGCTTTTCTTGAAGCAACACATGTGAGCAATACCCATCAAGCTGGGCTTGAGACGTTGTCTACATCCAGAACTGTGGTCCATGCCTGCAGTGCAGTTGCGCTCACACACACACACACACAGACACACACGCACTAACTCTCTGTCTCCTTCTGTTATTCTTGAATGCCAGATTTGCGGTACAGGCAGATATTTTCTCGATGCCACCGGTGCTCCAAATTAATTCCTTTGCAAATCGCAAATGTCCTGAGTCAAGCCTCAAACGAGGCTGCACTTCCTTATGGGAGCTGGCAGCCTCTCTGATAGAACCTATAGCCAGGATGAGGCAAGAGTGCATAATCGGTATGTATGTAGAGTCAGTGCATACACACGGTGATACACAATGTCAGTGCGAAGCCAATGCTTCTTCGCTGGGCATTCACTGTAATGAAGCGAACTATCCTTTTTGTTTCGAGACCTCCGGTTGAAAATCGACAGCAGTCACTAGTGATAGATCTGTAGTTGCACAGACACACCCACGCACACAATCTTGCGAGCTGAGCATCTTCGAAGGCACATCAAGGGCAGTGCGAAAGCTGTCTTGCGAAACGGCGCGACCCGCTAAAGTTGGCGTATGCGCAGGATGATACCAGCCACAACTTCCAACAGCAACAAAGCACCTCACGAAAAACTAGCCCATGAGCCTCGTCGTTGTAGCTGAGTTAACTGCGCCCCAAAAACATGAGATGTCCCTGTGCCGCCACATGTGCAGACCATACCCCAGTGCCTCCCCGATATACCTCCGTGCACCTTGTTCTCCCGCCTCCGCACCGCAAAGGGTCTCGACATAATATATCGATGGTGGATTCATGGGAGCAAACCACCACAGCCCTCATGATTGCATCCTGTTTCTTGCCTTCCCCGCCTGCCAGCTGGCAGAAGTGGCAATTGTTTGCCCGTAGTGAGGGCCCTGTTATGTTCTCAAGGTTCTTGCTTGTTTCCAACTGCGTCCGGACTTGTACCGCGCCAGCTCTACGTTTTGTCTTGCCGTCGCCATTTTCCCGCGGCAATGGTGCTTTGCCTATTATCCATATGCCCGTGCTGTTGCTGAACTACCGTACGGCATGTCAGAATGCAAGTTTCTGTACGTCGGTCAGTGATGCATGTTGACAGCGCAACGACCCTGAAATCAAGCCTTTTACACTGATCCTTCACGTGGGGGCGGCTAGCATACCTTGGCACCAAGGGCCACTTTCTGCAGGTACACATCCAAGTGTGCCGCGACGCCATCCACCGGTGTGCCGTAGCTTCGTTGGACAAGATTAGCGGGAGTCAGCTCCTGTTTATGTTCCCCTGCCCCTGCTACTTGGATTGTCAGAGAACCATGACATTCGACCGGACAAACAAATTGCCCAAGCCGCATAACATACTACAACACAATAAAGCTAATCTTCTCGCTTGCCTTTCCTGCGTTGGATAGTGCATCTGAGTGCGTGAATGAATGAGTGAGTGGATGGCATGGGGTGCACCTCCCGCCATCTCTTCACTCTTCCCCCCTCCGTTTTCGTCATCGGGAGATCCGGCAACCACCCGAACCTCCATGGGCCCGCCCGTTCGGGCTCTGAGGCTTGGGTTGGGCTTGGCACTTGGCAAGACAGCCACTTCGCAGGAACAGAAGCTCTTCCCCCTGTGATCCCTCACGCGGGTACTAAGGTAGCGACACTGGCTCGGAGAAAGGGCTTGGGGTGCGGAGTGGGTGGCCAAACCAAACACGCACACACGCACCGGCAGCAAGACTACGGGAAAAAGCGCACTCAGCCGATCCCCTGTTGGCTACGCAAACTCAAACAGTACTCCCCTAGCGTGTGGGGCAATGCCTGTAACTGAAGGCACCAACCCCCGGCAGAAGGGGGGACAGCGCGTATGATCCAAGAACTGGGGTATACTTGTTGCACACTGCCTCGGTGCAATGGGTCTCCTCTCCACTTGAAGCAAATCGCTTTCGAGACACCACAAATCTTAGTCACGACATGGATTGAAAGCCCTCGTCTAAGTCGTCTGAGAATTGCGAATGTGCCCGCAGGTGAGGAGATGAAATCTCGTTCCCCTACGCATCACTACATGCACCTCTTTTGATGCTCGCCGGGCCCTCGGCCTTTCGAAGTGAAGCGTTCGGCTCTCAGCTTTCGTTGTTCGCAATGCCTCCTCATGTTCATGGCACCTCTGGGCCACCAAAGCCTCAAGCTCAGCGCACCGTGTCACATATTCCTCGGCGAACAGACGCTCGTCTTTGCTCATCTCGAGGCTTGCCTGAACTCCCTGCTGTGCTCCTTGGCGCTGCTTCTGCTCCTCGTCGGTTTTTCTCCGAAAACCCAGGCCCAGGCTCCGTTTAAGTAGCCTGAAGGCCCCATAGGGCACACTGAAAAAATCAAAACCACCAACAGACCAATTCCAGCTGTTCACCACCAATTGCACAAATCCTCCTCACTCCAGCTTCCCTGACGAAGCCACTTACGGCCCAAGCCGTGGACTCCATTCACTTGCGAGAGCCATAAGCAGCAGAGGCACCACTGCTTTGATGCTGCTCACTCGTGCCCCCGCCGACTTGAAGCTCTTGATGGTTTGGTTGGTTCGTCTCTCATCTGCTGCCTCCTTGCCTCCTTGTCTTCACGTCATAGACTCCAAAGCGCCCATGCTATATCCTGGAACCTGACATCAGCCGGGTTGCGCTGATCGGCGATTGGGTTTCATTGAAAGCCCGCCACGCATGCCCAGCCCGCGCGTAGATGCTGTACTTTTCCGCAGCCAACTTTCTGGGTAATGGCTCTCGCCGAGGCCTGTCGCTTCGGCACGGCACTGCGACCTCAAACTCGGACTTCTCCAGCACCTTCAATAACTCGCTAAGGTACCGCACATTCAGCCGCAGGGACGGCAGGTGTTCGCTCTCGGCCGAACTCAAACTTGAACTCAATGCTATCGATATTGTGCCCGCACCACTGCACCAACCACAGACCCGGAAACATGAAAAGACTGCATGGAGCTGCGGCTGCGCCTCGTTTGTTTGCAGCCGCCCCAGCATCCGTCACTTTCAAGCACAACCTTGTAGGGACCGCCCTTCTCGTTGAGCACGCCCACAACGCAGACTTAAGCGAAAGGCTCGTTGGCTTCGAGCTCAGGATTCACACGGCGAGCTGGACGTCCGACCTTGGGCGGGCTAAGTACAGCAACCTTCCCAGTGACTCCTTGTAGCGCGGCTCACCAATGAGCCTGTGCTCTCCTTGCGGTCGGCCTCACGATTGACCTCCTGCGGTGGGTCCGGCGGGCTGTCGGCGTTTCCATCCCACCAGGCTTCACTGATCGATTTCCTTGGCCATTGCTTCCCAAACCCCAAGTGCCAACGCGCGCAAGCTGCTCGGGCAAGATATGTCACCATGCACCATGTTTGCACCCCGGCGTAGCCACGGGATTAAAGCGAACTCGAATCTGACCCGGGACATGCAGTTTGGAGCCGCTCATGGCCTGTCAAGCACAAGCCTTGGCCTCTTAGGTGTGGATCCCTCTACTTAGTCTCTACTTTCGGTGCGTCACATGCCGCTGGTGGTCTGGTCACATCGGTCATATCGTTGGGCCCTGGCGCTTGGGATGCTGCTGGTGGTCTCTCTGCCTGTCGGTAGGCCCCGGTGGTCCCGATTGTCCTGTTCATTCCTGCTGAGTGTTGGGTTGCTGCTGCTGGCTTCCTTTTGCTTCTGCTGGCGCCGGCCTCGGTTACCAGGACAGTGAGCTTGGCAAGGAGGATCCCGAAGTCAAACTTGGTGATATACGCGAGTTCGCAGCTCCCTCTCGCCCTGAAGCTTCCACTGACCAATCTTCAAGCTCCGGACCAGATTGTCGGTCTTCGGCCTGCAGCTGGGCAGCCTTGGGGCCCTCCCACTTGACTCCACAAGCTTTCCAAAGATGCTCGTGAACTCCTGGTCCAAGCGCTGCTTCACTATCCCTTCCACGGGCCCAGAACCCTGCAGCTTGCCGTTGCCCACCTGGTTGTGCAGCCGCCGCTGCTGCCACTTGCTGCGGCCCATCCTCTTGCGCATTGGCCTGCGACACCTTGCCAGGAAGCCTCCAGCCAGAGCCCAGACATAGAACAAATTTCAGCAAGCAAAGTACTGACGTTTGTTGGTGGTGTCGTAAGTACCCAAGCAGAGAAATGCAGGAAAACCATTATGTCGTGAGGGCTGCGTGACCCTTGACGGCCTCTAAATAGTGGCCCCGGACACCGTGTGTCGCGCGAGACCCAAAAGAAGCCTTACGTGTAGCGTGGCTCCACCACCATGCAAAACCACCGCCACGCTCTGATTTTCAGGGCTGCGTTGGATAGTGCGTATGGTCCTGGAGTATGCTTGTTGCACAATTTCATCAGACGAGGCCGACTGTCAACCCTTTTTACCACAAGTGCAGCCGATGCACAGCAAGTATGCATTTACCTACGTCGTATCACTTGGCTGGTACACACGGGTGATCAGCCATTGCTTCCCATTCGATCATTTTGTTAGGCACGGTCTGGTCTCCGATGCCGTGATCCTCCTCCATCTACAGCATTGAGCCAAGTCAGTAGTGGAACATTTCCAGTTGCGCGGACACACAGCTCTTTTGGCAACGGTGCCAGCGCATATCCGACCTTGCCTGGTTGAGCACGAGATTGATATGGTGAATATGATGAAAGTGGTGATGGTGATGATAACGACAAATGAGATGAAATTTTTGGTGCCATGTATGCCAGACCGACGGAATGGCATGCCCAACACAAGGTGAAATGATCCGTGAGGGTACGGGTCATGCCCTCGCTGTGCCAAACACCAGGAATGGCACAGCACGAAATGAAATGGAGATGAAAATGAAGATGATTGTATCCCCCAGCTGCCCGCGCTGGGGCCCAGGGCGGATACTGGCAGGTACGTTTTCACGGGGTTGGGGAGGGGGGTCTTCGTTGGCCAGGACCCCCTCCCCACCCTTCCTGGCCCCCTGCAAATGGTTTGTCGCATGTACAGCAGAATTA